GTTGCTGGCTCAAACTGCACATTTCAGATTACCTACTTAATTGTGAGCCCTTCATTTTACTGTCTTAACAAATTAAAGTGCAAAGCCACCATACCTGGAAACTTAGAGAATCACAGATTCTACAACAGATGGTGTCACGTTAGCATGTCTTCCTACAAACCACTTCTGGCTCATGGTGACCCTTTGTGTGTCACAGCAGGGCTGTGAACCACAGGGTTTTCAAGGGCTGTTTCAAGGGAAGATCACCAGGCCTTTGTCCCTGGACACCTCTCAGTGGGTTCGCTAAACTTCGGGTCGGTTGCGCCATCCAGTTTCCCAATTCATTCCACAATATTTATTAAGCGCCTATTTCTTTTTTCCCAGGTAACGTTTCAGGCCCTCGATATAGGGCAGCACACTAAACAGACACAACGGCCCGAATAAGGCACTACAGAAAGCATCTGAGCCACCTCACCCCTCAGTTTCGCTCACAAGCTGCCAGCCTCCTCACTGCCCTCCCCCCGACAGGGCCAATACCGTCTTCGTCCAGGTCTTCGTCCTCCTCCTGCTCGCTCTCCGCCCCCTGCTGCTTTGCCAACTTCTTCGCCTGCTGCTCAAACCACCGGAGTCGGGGCGGCTTCTCCGCCGGGTCTCGGTCGTGAGCTCCGCGGCCACGTTTTGCCACCGCCACTGGACCTGTGGACTCGTCCGTCGGTGCCGAGGGAGCCTTCTTGGGCGACATAGAAGGCTGCGCCCTGATGGCCTGCTGGATGGCCGCGTTCATGGCATCCTTGTCCACACCGTCAGCGCCCAACCCTTTCTCCAGGTTCTTCTCGTTCATCATCTCCACCCTGCGATTCACCGCCTGCACCGCCGCCTTCTCCAGTTCCACGTGCCGCCGCGACTTGAGGTGGTTCTCGTAGGCGTTGAAGGAGGCGAACTTCTTGCTGCAGACGGTGCAGTAGGTGGCCGTGCCCTTGCTCTCCTGCTCCGCCACGGCCCGCTGCGCCCGCACCCGCTCCTGGAAGCCCTCGGCGGTGACCGGAGCCATGTCGGCCACTTTCCGCCGCAGGTTGTAACGGTGCCAGTCGGTTTTGTAGTGGGCCCGCTGCATCTCCGCGTCGCGGAACGCCACCCGGCACGTGATGCACGTGTACGTCGCCATCGCCAGGCGGGGAATAAGCTGTGACCCACCTAGGAACCTAACGGCAAGGGCCTTGGCCCCACCAAGCCCTCCTCGGATTTTAACTTGCTTCAGCGAAGAACTGTGTCGCCGAACGCAGACTTCCTGACTCTCTCAGCTGGAACTCCCGGCACGCGCCGGAAGTTAGTCTTAGCTGAACAGGAAGTCCTTCCCTGTGGTCCGTAACCACGCCCCACCGAGGCGCAGCTAGGATGACGAGAGGACGCCTGTACCAAATCAGGTATTGGGCCGGACTGATCGTTAAGTGTTGATTGGCTGGCGCTGCGCCGCAGAGTACTTTCCTTTGTGGTTGTGCTGTGCTGTGTGACGTAATTAGGGGGTGGCAGGGACCGAAAGGCGTGGGCAAGGCAGCTGCGGCCCTGGCGAGGACACTAGGGGCAGAGCTGCGCTGAGGATCTTGGTGGGACGAAAGCCAGCCTCCGCGTCCCTTAGCCAGTGAATGGATCAGAGAGCACCAGAGAGGCCAGGACCTATCTGCGGCCCTTCTGAAGCGGCCCTTCCAGCGGGGGCGCAGGCAAACCTCTGAAATGAAAATAACTTGCCAGGTAGACGAAAATTAGCACAGCAAAACCACTACCGAAGAGAATATAATCCAGACTGGAAAGAAAAAAAACTCAAGGCCCTCGAGTCTGTTCTGACTCATAGCGACCCCTATTGGGTTTCC